AACAAACCGACAGGCAAGTATCATGGCGATGAAGTAATATAACCCAAAGGGAGACGACACTGTAGTCTTACAAACAACTACATTAGATCCTTAAACATATATATATATACCGATGATATTTGTATAAAGCCACTCCAACGTGCCATTAATATTCCATTCTGCAATATAATATACATAAATTTAGGACCAGTATATTTACACGACGAAGATAACAAATCAATAAATAATAACATAACGAAAGTGATAAATACAAAATTGATAAACTGATCCTACACCGCAATAGCAAAACAGTTGCCAAAGACGTGGATAAAGGCGCCTAATAAGGGCAAGATCTTAGAGAGAAAAAATATATATGATATCTAAGTTATGGGTTACAGTAACTGTTATATTTACAAAACAAAGAGTGGTGATTTGACAGCCAAACACCTTTGATTTACCGCTCCACTTACTGCAAACAACGCCGTGGCTTCAAAACACGAATAAATGTCTGTAATGCAGATCAAAAACACACAGTTTTACATACACACAGACGCACACACACACGCACACACACAGACGCACACACACACACAGTCATTCACATTATCACGGATACATATGGTGATCATTATCAACTATCACAAGCCGTTCTCTTGGATAAGATAATAATTAACACGCGCGTTTCTTGGCTTCGAGTTGAAGTCTTTTCACGCGTGATTCAGATTCTACTAATTCCATTTTGAATTAATTTTTTTGAGCTTTTGTTTAACAGGAAAAGAGATAAGGAGAAAAATAGATGTATCAGATTGTCTCTATACCTAGGCACTCACGAGGGTTGATTCCTGTAACAAATTTTCTTGTAGTCGTCCTCTTAGAGTCAGTCACAACTTCCAATCTGTTTCCAAGTTCCTACACCATCAGGCCACTACTGTTTCTGTTCTCTCTCTTTTCCCTCTTTCTATCCTTTCACTTTTTCTGTCCTCTCTAACTCGACGACGATTTGTGTTCCTTATCATTTGCTGTTCCCACTCCTGTTATCTTGTTCTGTTCATTCCCTCTTTCTTTCATCCCTCGATGAATTCCCCATTAACATCTATCGTTATTATCTCCATCTGTCCTTTAAATATTCCTTTCTTGCTCTGCCCCGTCTCCCTCTTCATCGTTCATCCCTCGACGACTTCGGAAACAAGGCAGAGGCAGCCGCAATAACAGGCACTTCCTCCTCTACCCTCCTCCTTTCTCTTCCTCCTTCCCTCTCCTCTAGACGACCACTTCTCAAGGACGACGATGACGACGACCTTTCATCCCTCGACGACTCCGGAAATGAGGCAGCTGTTGGTGGTCCAGATCTCGTCCCGAATCCTGTTCCTGAGCGCCACCATGTCTCCCTCCGTCTGGAAGTTGGGGTCGCACACCCCCTCGCGCTGCTCCTCCATGCACTCAAGGAACTCCTGCGAGGGTGTTCAAGGGCGTGAGTGTTGGCGTGCGGGGAGGGGAGCCGGGGGAGAAGGGCAGGGGAGCGGGCGAGGGCGAGGGGCGAAGGGGAAGGGGAGAAGGGAGAGGGAGAGGGAAGGGGAGAAACAGAGAGAGGGTGAGTGAACGGAGAAACAGAAAGAGGGAGAAGAGGAGGGGACAGGAAGAGACGAAGGGGAGGGAGGGAAAGGGGAGAGGAAAGTAAGAGGAGGGTAAGAAGTGGAAGGAGGAGCAAGGGGAAGATATGAAGGGGGAAAGAGGATGGGGAGTAGGAATGAGAGGGAGGTGAAAGAGGGGAAAGCAGGAGGCGGGATGTGGAAGTGGAGTAGGAAGAACAAAACCTGGAAACAAGAGGAAAGTGGAGGAGCAAGGGGGAAGCGAAGGAGGGGGGGGGGGGCGAGAGCGAGGGAAAAAGATACAAACGGAGAAAGGTGAGAGAGAGGGAGGAAGAAGCGATGCGGGAAGGTTATCCAACAAAGGAGGAGAAGAAAAGAACGAGGACTTTTTCCAAGAATAGAAAATAAGAACAGAAGTTTTGAATAAAATTCATAATGAAAACAGAGTTACAAAATACGTCCTCCAATTCCCACAAACAAATACAAAACAACACTTTTTCATATCATCAATATCTCTATCATAATCAATACTATCACCAATCCACGACACTCAATATCAATACGAATCACAAGCATTTAACTAACCTCTCTATAGCGACACTTCACCACGGATGTTTTGTTGGCCACGAGACCGACCTTCTTGTAACACTCCTCCAGGTTGTGGTACTGGCACGCCTCGCTGCCACTCACTGCAAGGAACAGGTTGTGTCATTCCTTCGTGCAATCAGAAATCAATCGGTTCTGCGTGCAACATGAATTATAAGAATCGTTTGAGACCTGTATTTATTTTGTTAACTTGTTTTTTGTTTTTGTTTATTCCCTGGTTCTGTTTTACTTGTTTCATCTATAGCTTTCTGCAACATGAGATGGAAAAATATACAATAATATAATTTTACGAAATTCTACTACAAGTTCATACGTAATCCTACAAC